AATTATCTCCAAAGATCGCATCACTACTCACAGGTTCAAAGCAAACTGCTCAGCACTACGTTTCATTGATAATACATGTCATTAAGCACTAGGAAGGATACCAAATTTTTTTATTGAATTTCGAATTTTTATGAAAGTTTGTGAGAAGAACTTGAGCTCTGACTAGAAGTTCTGGCCGAAATTCATATAATTCTATTGGATGAAATAGCTGGATCTTTGAAAAATTTTTATCATTAAGGTTTAATCTAAGGATTCAGAGACGAGAGCTTTTTCGTAAAATTTCTATCGAATCGTTTAAGATCAGACAAGATCCGAAATATTTGATCTGAGCAGAAACATAGATCGACTACCAGTAAGCTGCAATGCTTTGGATAAAAATAAAAACAAGAATAATATAGTAAACCGGAATTTCGCCACCTGAATGTTGACAATATTTTTATTGTAGAAAATCTGGCGGAAATTGAACAAATTGTCAAAATTATAGAGTTTGATTGATGTTCTTGTTTTATTACATTATAGCTAGTTGATAAACCGGATTTTTAAAAATTTCTTTACTTTGGAAATTCCGGCGGAAATTGGACAAATTGTTGAAACTTATGTGGCGAAATTCTACAAAATCGAATAATATCGATACTAATATAAAATTTTTTTCATAGAAAAATAAATTTTCCTGTTGTGTAAAATTACACTTTATTGATTTTAGACACAATCGTGGTCATGTAACTCGAGCACAATTTCGTCAATGTTTAGCCATAGCTGGTTTATCTTATACGCAAAAAGAATTAGAAGCTGTTGAAGCAGCTTTTATTAATGATAATGGTTTTAATTATCGTCGTTTTCTTGAATGGATTCAACCAGGTCGTCCTGAGCCACTTCGTTATAATATTTTGCAAGAAGAATTGAAACATTTAAATAAACAACGAATTTTACCAGAAATAAAATCATTGACAAGTATTCAAGATGTTTTACAAAAAATTAAAGGACAAGTACATATATTTATTAAACTATTTTTCTTAATACATACATAAAACATCGAACTAAATATATTTATTTTACTTAAAGGTATTTCGTCGTCGTATACGACTCTACGAATGGCTTAAAGATCATGACAAACTAAATTGTGGTCGAATGTCTTTTGATACATTTCGTCGTGCTATAAATCCATGCCAATTAGAATTAACAGAAAGTGAATTGTCTCTACTTGAAGATTAGTAAGTTAAAAGTTTTATTTTTTTGATTCGATTTTTGGTGGTGCTTTCACTTCATTATTTTCATTGAGTGGTTTACCATCAAAAAAATCAAGTAAATTTTGTACAGTTGTTTCAGCTATATTTTTCAATGCTTCTTCTGTTAGAAATGCTTGATGTGATGTAACAATTGTATTTGGCATTGAAATTAGACGTGCCAATGTATCATCTTCCATAACCTAAAACAAAACAAAAAATTTTTTTTTTTTTGAAGATAAAATATTAGAAATTGGTTTTTTTAATAAAACCAAATTTTACTTGTTGACTATAATCATTAAAAAAATATTCTTTTTCATTTTCATATACATCAAGTGCAGCTCCTCGTAATTTTCCTGACTTAAGACAATCAACAAGAGCTTGTGTATCAACTAAACCACCACGACTTGTATTAATTAACATTGCACCTTGTTTCATTTTATCTAAAGCTTCTTTATTAATTAAATGATAAGTTGAATCAAGTAATGGTGCATAGATTGAAACTAAAATTAGAAAATAATTTTTAAAAAATAAAACATATGAAAAAAATATTTTTTTCTCATACCAATATCACTTTGTCGAAGTAATTCATCCATTGTTGTATATATATAACCTTTTTCTTTTGCTGCTTTTTCATTTGGAAAAACATCATAAGCTAAAACTTTACAGCCAAAACCCAAAAATATATTAATTGCACACATACCAATACCACCAGTTCCTATAATACCAACAGTTTTACCAAAAAGATCAATACCAACTAAACCATCCAAACTAAAATTATGTTGTTTTGTTCGAAAAAAAGCATGATGCATATTACGATTGAGTGATAATAAAAGAGCAACAGAATGTTCAGCTACAGCATATGGTGAATATCGTGGTACACGACATACTTTTATATTATATTTTTCAGCTCTTTCTAAATCAACATGATTAAATCCTGCACTTCGTAAAGCAATTATTTTGATTGAATTATATTTATTATGAATTTCATCTAAGACATGAGCATTAACAACATCATTGACAAAAACACAGATACCATCATAACTTTCAACTTCATCTACTGTTTCATCAGTTAATTTACTTTCAAGAAATGTAAAACGTAATTTATCTTGTCCATCTAAATTTTTTAATGCTAATTTAAATGTTTTTTCATCATATGCTTTTGAATCAAAAACAAGAATTTTATGTAGTGTCATCTATGTTGTCAAAAGAATAAAAAAAAGAAAAATAGCAATAGATTACTTAGAAAAATAAGATATTAAATAAACAAGAAATTTACTTTATTCGATTGAACTAAATTCCAAAGCGTTGTAGATGTTGTTTTTCTTCTGGATTCTTTTACTTCAATGCCACGAAGTGATTTCTCTCTTTCTTTTTCTTTCTATGGGAGAAATATAGCCTAGTTGTTGTAACTACGTAGAATAAATGAGTGACGATGAAGAAAGTGGCAGGCCACGAGTGAAAAAGAGAACAGAGCGACAAAAAAATTGTTCTGATAGACAGAAGAACCAAAGAAAAGAAAAAAAATATACTTGACGGACTTATAAAGACAGAACGATCCTCTTCTATAGCAACGATTCTAGGACAGAAAGAAATACTAAAAGAAAATGTTATTGCCATCGAGTTTAAAGCGTTACCATCATGGCTATAGTCGTAAACATCAATAGTTGTTTTTTTCTACAGGCTAAACTCGGCTTATTATCGTTCTTCAAAGGATGGATCTTTTCCTATTCAATGGAATATTTTTAATAAAAAAAAAAAAACAGGAACCAAATTATGCTAAGTTTTGAAGTAAGACTAATTAATTTAAAACACGACAGGTTGCTATAATAACTCAGAAAAGATAACTTTGAATATTAACCTCTGTCAATACCAAAGTACCGATCAAAACCATTCAAATGAATAAAATTTGTTTTATAATGGTTATGATCTATCATGACAAACTATATATTAGCGATATTAACTATTGAAAATAGTTCCGTACGATTATTATTTAAAAGCGCGTATTTTTCAATGAATTACAAAAGAAAAGAAGACAAGAATATAGAATTGTTTTCTTCTTTAAATAATACTTAAAATTTAAAGAAAATAATCTCGGTTATAAATAAATTTCACAAGCTCTGATTACAAAATTTAAACATCATTCGAAAATGACGAGAATAACCGAGCACTGAATCTCATTTAATGTGCCTTGGAAAAAATTTTTTAAAAATTGTCTCAATAGAAGTAAATTAAATTTTCTATCTTTTTAACTGACTCTATTGAGATGATATGAAAAATGTTTGTGAAAATAGATGCATGTCTTGAATAAGAAAATCAACTTATTGATAATTAAAGGCAATAGCTACATAATTAACACATTCCTACTTCTATCTACTATACATAAAGTTGTTACTATAGTTTGCTGATTATTCTGACTTTTTGTTATCTTTTGATGTTTTTCAGAATATTCGGATACTCGTGTATCCTAATATTTTCGTATTGCATTATAATACGAAAGATCATATGTACGAATCTCGTTCAAGGCTAAATTTCACAAATAATTTTGTCTTATAGAGGCAAAACCGATAAGTATATTCGATCCGGACAGTTTATTCTAGCTAGATAAGTACGAATTTTAATTGACATAATAACATATTGATATCTATTGTTTTGTATATGTCAATCAAGAAGTCACCAATCTAAAGGATTTAGTAAAAAGCATTCAAGATTGACTTGAAAACGGCATCATTAACTCAAAATATAAATTTTCTTGTACAATTTTTATATAAGTTGATAGATCATATATTTATTAGAAAATTTTTTATTAATCAATTATTATTTATTTTTTTATTTTTCTAGCTATCGATCACGTCTTGATTCGAATGCAATTGAATATCGAAAATTCTGTGATGAAATTGAATCTATATTTACTACAGATTTTCTTGAAAAAAATCCACTTGTCGAATCTGAACAATATGTTGCACTTAAAGATGCAACAACTATTCAATTAGATCCTGATAAAGAAGATCGTGTAAAAAATGTAATGCATAAATTAGCTGAACGTGTAAGTTTCTTTTTTTTGTTAGAAAAAAAAATGTATAGAAATACTTATTTCATTTAAAAATAAAATATAAAGGTTCATGCACGTCGTATACAATTATTTCCATTGTTTGAAGATTTCGATCGAGTTCGAAATGGACATGTTACACAAAATCAATTTTTACGTGCATTAAATGATCTTGCCTTATTAACCTTATTAAATGGTTTTGAAAAAGATAATTTATTAGAAAAATTTCGTGTTCGTGTTGGTGGACGCGATGATATTGATTATCTTACATTTTGTCATGAACTTAATGCCTTAGCTGGTTTTGAAGCTGGTATACCATAAAATAAAATACTGAAATTTCTCTTTTTTTTTTTTGAATAAAAAATAGACGAGTAAAATTATTATACATCTATTTTTTTTTGCTTCGTTCATCAAACATTGAATAAAAATGAAAACCAGAATAATGTTTTACTTCTGGATCTTTAAATTATTATTAATATGTCTTTAGAATGAATCTTAAAAATAAAACTTTATGAAAATTTTTTTAAATATAATACTCATTAACTGAAACTTCTATAAAAATATTTATCTTCATAGTCATATACATCAAGTACAGTTCCTTGTAATTTTTCTGACATAAGACAATCAACAACAGCTTTTGCATCAAGTAATGAACCATCATTTGTATTAATTAACATTGTACTTTTTTTTATTTTATCTAAAGCCTTTTAATTCTTTAAATGATAGGTTTATTCATTCAATGGTGCATAAAGTGAAACTAAACGCATATTAATAAAAATTTATTTTATAAAGGGAAAATTAGTATTTCTTTGTCTTACCAATACAACTTTGTCGAAGTAATTCATTCATTGTAATATATTGAAAAACTTGTTCTTTTGGAGTTGTTTCATTCGGTTTAATATCATTAGCTAAAATTTTACAATCCAATCCTACAAATACCTTTATGCCACGTATTTCAACATTACTTCTTTACCAAAAAGATCAATATTAACTAAATCACCCCAACTAAAATTATGTTGTTTTGTTTAAAAGAAAGCATGATGCATATTACGATTGGGTGATAATAAAAGAGTAACCGAATGTTCAGCTACAGTATATGGTGAATATCGTGGTACACGGCATACATGAGGATTACATTGTTTAGCTATATCAATAGAAGAACCACTATGTCTAGCACAATAATTTAAACTGTATCACAAACTTCGCATATTTTTTCATAACTTTTATATTACAAGTATTGATGTTAAAAATACATATATCATCATAACCTTGAGATTCAGATATAGTTTCTACATTTAATTTACTTTCAAGAAATGCAAAATGAAATTTATCTTGTACACTTAATGTTTTTGAAACTTCTTTATATGTATTTTCATGATAAGATTTTAAGGGAAAAAAAATAATTTTACATTGTGCGATCGTTATTGTTTTTTTTTTCTAGAAATTAAAACACAAAATATCAGAAAAGCATATCATATATAATAAAAGCTTATATTGAATAAAATAAAATTGGTCTAAAATGTTTATTGTTCTCATCAGTTAATGTATGCTAGTGAAAGATGATTGATTCTTTTCTTTGTCTATTGGAAAAATATAGATTAGTCATGGTAACTATGTAGCATGTACAGTCGATAACAAGAGAAGTACTATAAGGAATAAGGCAAGAACGAAAAAAAACATTGTAGAAAAATCGTCTCCAGAAGAAAGAAAACGATGGGTAAAATAACAGAACGCTGCATGTCTGTACCCATGGTTATAGCAGTTGACAGCGGAAATTACTAGAGAAATAGTTTGTGCGTCACTTGTATGAATAAGTTGCCTAAAGCACCGCTCCATGACTTTATCCCGTAATAGTTTTATTTGCCAAGAATGACTACTACTTGCGTCATCTCTAACTATTTTATATTTTCAAAGGCTTAGTTTTTTTTTTTCATATATATCAATAGTTTAAAATTAGAATGAAACAAATACAGAATTTTTCTATGAAGTTATATAAATAAAAGATAATGTGAATAAAAATCTGATTCGAAAGGTATTGATTTACATCGTATATGAATACAGAATGTCTAAAATTAGACTTATAGAATTCATTAATATAGACATACATCTTCGCATTATTTGTTACTTGTTAGTTATTTTGATCATTCATTAGTATTCTTATCGATGTAAATGAATTGTTGGTATATAACGATAGATTTTTTTTATATGAAATGTGTTCTTAAAAAGATTTTCGATAGAAAAATTTGATATTCACATATTTTTCATTTTGTTTTTTTTTTTCAATTTGGAATATAATTTCGTGAGATATTCCTTTATTTCCTTTGAAAAATACAATGAAAAGAAAGCCCATAAACACACAAATAGACAATAACAATCATATGTAAAAGAAACAAACAGATTAAGAAAATATAACTATGCATGGTGTGCTAAATTCTTAGAAAAGAAGATTAATATAAAATAATTTATTGATAATAATTTTAAAATGTTTTTAATTATTTTTTTTTGTTTTTAGTGAAATGCATTTATTCAAAAAAACCATCACAAGATGAGATCATTATCAGTAGAAGGCAAGTGTTATAAATAAAAATATCACATCAATGAATTGTGTTCACTTATGAATACTGAGTGTGTCGAAGTGAAGGCATAGTAGTATTTACTACTGGTGAACGAAATCTATAGAAAAGAAAAAGTAAATTATAATTAAACTCAATTAGTTTTTGAATTACTATTAAATTACCGTTTTTGTTTTTTGATGAAACATTTAGCTGAATCGGATGATAATTGACGAATACGTAATGAATTTAATCGACCAGACATGATTATTATTGGTCGAGCACGTACACAATAATTTTCACTTAGAATTTCAAGCCAAATACGATATTTTCCATTATTTAAATCATAAATAGTTGCTTGATGTGTAGAAGCATCATAATCACCATGTAAACGTACAGCATGTGTTGCAAGATTTTCCGAATATAACTAATGAATAAAAAGAAACTTTTCATATTATATTTTTAAATCAAACTAGGAAAGCACAAATTCTTAGAATATTATGTCAAAAATGATATTTTCTTTCTTGTTAAAAATATCGTTCCTGTGGATTATTTATAACAATCATGATTAGTTGTTAGAATTGATCATAAAATTCATATTTTTTTTCGACCAATTTCAACTGATTTTGAGACTTATACTTTGCATCAGACAAAAGCTAAGAATAGATTTTGAAAGAGCGTTGAAAACTGTACACAAGTGATATGAAGAATAGCTAGGAGTCCAGTAATTCTTCATAGTAGAAGTATTTTAAACTCTGATTAGAAATTTAAAGAATCAATTTATCTTTGTTAACAAAAAAACGTATGTCCAGCATTAAGAATAACCAGACTCATAGCTATTTTTTCATGCCAATTGTATCTAGTTTTGAATGTTCTTTTCGAATTTATTCTTAGATTTTGTCTAATACAAAACACAAGTCTCAAAATCAGTTAGAACTGATCGAAGTAAATACGAAAGAATAGAATTTTTATAACCAATTAAAAAAACCTATCTTTTCTATCTCCTGTATTTTGACTACTTCGGATAGAGCAAGAAAAGCTAATCATGATTGATAGAAACAAATCACAGGAACTAAATTCTTGATAAGAGAAAAAAAATGTTATCTGTGACATAATGTTCTAAGAATTGGTGCATTGCTAACTCGACTTCTGAAACTAAAGGATTATCAAGACAAGAAATACAACTTTTATACTATAATAACTCCATGAGTATGTAAATAAACACCCTGAAAATATTTAACATCGCAGATTTTCAATTATGTTCAACACTCTACTATGAAAATGTCTCATCTGAAAAGAGCGTAAGACCGAATCAGTGTGAATTTTATAAGAAAAAAGTTATTCCATAAGAATTAAATAATATAAATTAGGATTGACAATTTTACAAATATTTTACTATTGATTTGACTCTTATTGTCTGTTCTTCAGAGGATGAGAACTGAAGTTCTAGTAAAACTACGATGTGATCTTTTCTTTTTAATACTTTAATATTCTCAATTTCTTCAAAGTTAAACTCATTTTTCTACATCATTCAATATTTTCATACTTTAAATCCAAGAAGTTTTTCCATTTCATCTTCTAATTGTGGATGTTCCCAAGCAACAATAATAGTTCCTGTTTGTCCATCATTCATACGTCTGAATGTACCTGGTTTAATTCCAGGCCATGAAAATTGTACACCACGTGACATTGGACTAACAATATTTTTATCATTACTCAATGCTTGTACATGTACAGTATAAATATCACATGGTGTACCATTTGTTAGTGTATATGTTAATTGATCATGTGCAAGTATGGCTGCTAAACGATTATTAACAAAGATTTGATAACCAACAACTGTAATTTCACCATAACTTGCTGCTGGACGCCATTCAAGTTTAACATGAGTTGTTGTACGTTCACTAAAATAAAATTTCAAAATTTTATTTCTTTATTGATGTTTTTCTTGTAATTACCTAATAGCAACAATAGGAGCATTTGGTGGAGCATTCATTTGAACAGTAGTTTTATCTGATGTATATAAAACACCACCATTTTTATCAGCAGCCATAATCATTATTCCATAAGTAAAACCTGGTCGTAAACCACGTAAAACCTTGATAAGAAAAAGCAAAGAAAAAAAAAAAAAAACTTTTGTCTTTCTTAAAAATTATTCTTTTACTTACAGAATGTCGAAATCGTTTCGATACTTTCATTGTTTGTATTTCTCCATTATTTAAACAAGTGTAATGAATATAATAGGCACGTATTTCTGCTGTAGGTAAGAATGATGTCCAATCAATATGAAGTTTTTCTTCATTAATTGATTCGATTTTTAATGGTATAATACGTGCTACATTACGATCGAATGATGTTGGACTTCCATCATCATTATTATAATAGATTGTTGGAATAAGACTTGTTGTTGGTGTTGTTATAACAGTTAATGTTTGAGACATAATTGAACGTGAACGTAATGAATTATTTGTTATAGCACATACATTAACTTGATATGTACGATTAATACGTGATGGAATTTCAGCACGACGTAAATTAACTTGAATAATATCACCTTTTTTCTTACCTTCAATAAATAATTGATAACCAATAATAGGTATTCCATATGATTTTGGTTCAGACCATTCGACAACAAAGTTTGTATCTGATGTTTTAACAAGCCATAAACTTGGTGCATCTGGCTCACCTGGTATTGGTATTGTTAATGGTTCATATTGAAGTCTATTACGATCATTAGTAACAATAATAATTTCAATAACATAATGATATTTTTCATCACATGAATCTAAAGATATTTAAACAATAAAATAAATAACAGATTTCGTTATATTTATAAATGAAATATAAAATTTTGACTAACCTATAGTGAATGATGTTTCATTAGCAGCTACTATTTTATGTTGAATACTTAAATCTTTTGATGAATGCCATTGAAGAATAAAATGTGATATATTTTTAGAATCTGATACTTCCCATTGGACATTTATTTTTCCTAATGATTGAACTTCATTTCGTTGTTTCGTTGTATTTTCGTTTGATTCATGAGGATTAAATTCAAAGTTAGCTCGGAATGAACGAAGAATGTCTAAATACAAACAAAAGTGATGAGAAAAATAATAGATTCGTTTTTATTTTACCATCTTTCTTTAACATTCGAACACGTAATGGTTCCGATGGAGTTTCATCTGGATTATCAACATCACTTGTATCATTATTTATCTTAAAAAAGAAAAAGAAACATTTTCAAAATTTGAATAAAATTTGAATTTTACCATATCATTCATATATTCATTTTGAACAATAGTTCGTACAAATAAGTGAACTTTATAATCTTGACCTGGTTGACATTCAGTCAATGTACAATTATATTGATTTCCTTCTAATGTAATTTGTTTATGTTCATCAATATCAACTCTATATCCAAGTAATCGACGATGTATTTTAAGTTGTTCATTAAGTTTTTCTGGATGATCAATAATACTAAACATATTTGGTTTATTCCATGCTAAATCAATAGTGTCTTTTGTATAAGCCGTTACATAAATTTCTGGTTTTTCACATATGACTGGTACATGAAAACGTACTGTTGCTGTTTGAGTTGTTGTTAAACGAATTTCTTTTCGACTTGTTTCATCATTATCATCTTCAAGATTTATTTTTACGCTAAAAATGGAATCAAGTGAAATTTTATATAAACCCGATGGTAATCTTCCATGTATTGTATGTTGTGTAACATTTTCATCAAGTTCTACACTATGTTCTTCACCATCATGTTCTAGTTTCCAATGAAGTATTTGATTAATATATTTTGTTGAACCATAAACTTTAGGTAATATCCATTTAAGTTGTATTGCTTCGGTTGTTGCTTGACAAATATTTATTTGACTTACTGGTTCACATCCACTAGTTATAAATGATAAACTATTTTTTGATAACCAATCTGATGGTTTTAATTTTTTTGGTAAATGTGCAACATCATGACAATGATTTTCATTTAAATATTCTTCAGTGATAGCATAAATAGTTGCATTATATGTTGTACGTTCAATTAAATTCGATAAAATAAATTCTGTTGAATCAGGTTGTAAATCTATTGAAATTTCTCTTGCATTTGTTTCAGAAGAAAGTGGTTCACATTGAACACGTAATGCTATTATTTCAGCATTATGTTCAATAAATGGATCAAAACCAATGCGAGCATTCGTATTTGTACAAGCAATAAGATGAAGACCTGCTGGTGCATCCGGTGCTGTACCAGTATGAAAAGTTAATATTTCTGACATGTCTGAAACGATATATAAATCTAAAAGAAAAATAAAAATTATTTCATTCTTTTCTTTTTTCTCTGAACAATTGGCAAATACCTTTTGAAATTTCATGACGTCGTTCCTTATATACGCCTAATTGAATGCTATATTTTGTATTAGATTGAAGATCTTTCAATTGTGCATTGACTTTGTCTTCTATAAAAACACATAAAAGAATTTATTATGTTCGTTTGTTTACATCTGAATCGGATAAAAACTATATGATTGACACAATTGATTAAAATTTTCATTCTATACGGAAAACGTATCATGAATACTTTAAATGTATATATATGATGAAACAAATCGTTACACAAATCTGTGACAAACATTTACTATTTATTTTTCTTTTGAAAAATCAATATCTTGACAAATGAACACTGTTTTTTCGATGAAGCTTCCATGGTATTGTATGAGCGATTCGATCTTTCTGTGAGCAAAATTTTATATCGAAATTCTGCATTGTAATTATTCGTGATATACCTATAGTTGAATCATTAATTCAATTAAGTTATCATAAAACTTAGATTAAAAGATTCATGACAATAAGCTCCTTTAGACTTTTGATAGTCTCATCAAAATATCGTTGTAGACTTAATATGAGGTCACATGGTGGGTATCAGTTTGAATGGTTTTCTTTTGACAGTGATAGAAAGTCGATTTGTTTGTTTTTTGATTATCTTTAATGAAAATGTTATCTTAAACAATACAAATACTATTCACTTGTTGTATTATCTGGATAACTCTATTAAGGTTTTTGAACGATATGTTATTTCATAAATTTAAAATAACTTTACTTGATAATTCAACAATCTTTGGTTGTTCACGTGTATATTGTTTATCACCCCATATTGATAGCTCATAATAATCTGGTTGTATATTTGTACTCATTGATTGATCAACTAAATAAAATATTCATTAGATTAATTTAATAATTATTGTCAAAACTTACTTGGAGACCAACAAGCCATAGCTGAATGTCCAGTAATATTTTCGATCCAAAATTTTGTTGGTAATAAAACTAAGTCTGTATATTCTACTTCAAGTTTTGGTCCTGGTAGATAATGACCATGAAGATCAGGATCATATTCTATACGAAACATAAACGAAAACAAACTATGTTTCTTCTATAATAAATAATATTATTAGTCTAACCTTCTCCTTTTCGAAGTGCAGTACCACCTAGTTGATCCGTTATTGGTACAACTTGTACTGAGTATCGATTGCCAACTTCTAAATTATTAATTGAAACCCGTCGTTTATCAACTGGTAATGATTTTCCAATAGCTCGACCATTGTTTAATATTTGATATCCCTATCAATTATGATTAATGCTTTAGATGATTCAAATCAAAAACAAAGCAAAAAAGAACAATATAACATACAGTTACTTTTACATCTCCATATTCGTCAGGTGCATCCCAAACAATTTCAATACCATTTCGATCCATTCGTTTAATGCTTGGTGTTGTACCTTTTGGTGGTGCAGCACATTTTAATAATAATTCATTTGATATATTTGATTCTATATCACATTGATAACCATAACCAGCAAGTTTCTTTTGTCCAATGAAAGCTTTAATATAAATTGCGTAAGTGTGGTCAGCTTTTAATTTAGTAAAATCATATTTAAATGATTGACGTCCATTTGTTTCAATTTCACCATGAAGTTTTGTATCAAGAAAAATTTTAAATGAAGTTATTTCATCTTGAACATCATCATTTATATTCCATTGTATTCGAATTGAAAATGGTTTTTCAGTTGGAATATTTTGTATTGTTGGAGGTTGAGGACGTTTTGGACATACAATACGTATTGGTTCAGAAATTTTTTCACCAACAAAATCTGGATGAGCTGTTACAGATACTTGAATTTCATTTTTTGTATCTATAACATAAATTCATAGAAGAACACAAAGCTATTCGTTTTTTGGAATTTAAGACCTCGCCCCTCTACTTTCCTGAGTTCTTCGAAAACAGATTGACGGAATATAATGAAACTTTAAAGGCAGATAGATGTCTATAAGTAGAGTAAAAGTTGACGTAGTTTTCAAGTTCTCAGATGGCTCCTTCAGAAAGATGTCAGGGTCACAAAAACCAAAAATGGTCAGACGTTTTTCAGTTTCGCAAAACGCTATATCTCATTTTTTCGAGCTACAAGTTTTTTATGAAAACTAGAACCAAAGTGGAGTACGTGCTTTTGCTTTCTGTGAAAAAAAAATGCCGCTTCTACAGCTCAGGAACAGCAAAGAACTGATAGCACCGTCAAAAAAAACATGGTTTTTTTTCAATGGCACTAATTTGTAAAGGCTGCTGAATTTCGTAGCAACTGCATTAAGAAAGAAAAATAATAAATGCATTTTAAGTCGACTAAAGTACTCATAAAAATAAATTTTAATGATGTGACGGATGTATGGACTTATGTTCAAAGCACCTCTAGAATGAAAAATAACCATTTTCATTATGAGAAATTTTATATGAAAAAGAATAATCATAGCATGAGCTTTTCTGTTAGAGAATTTCGAAAGTTGGATTTTTATTAAAGAACTAAATAACAAATAAGATCGCTCATTTAAATGGCATTTGACAGAGGATACTTCGAAGCTGTACTAGCAATGGAAAACCAACAATCAGAAAAAAATTCAATTCTCATATCCGCAAAAATAGGGGGAGATCTCCTTAGGAAAGTGTATACCTGGCTTCAGATCACGTAATTCATATTCATGTTGATTTGGTGGAAGAATTTCAGTTGGTTTTGAATTAAGAATAATACGATAACCTTTAACTAATGATTGATCAATAGAATCATCAAATTTCCATGACAAAATAGCCATTTGTATTCCAGTCCGTGTTACTTGCAATAATGGTCGTGTGAGAAAATCAATTAATGGATTGATTTGTGTTGTAATTTCTTCATTTGATGTTGTTACTAAAGTAGTACATCTCATATCATTTGATCCTTGAACATTAAATAAAGCTCGAACAAAAACTCTACAAGAAAACAACATAAAACATTCGATAAATATGTGTTTTTATTTTTATTATTATTTTTGAATACTCTTACTTGTATTCTTGTCGTTCAGGAATGCCTGATATTTCTAATGGAGGACTATCTACGAACCAGATATGTTCCATATAATCACCGTGTCCTGATCTATATGATTGGTAGTAGAAGAAAAGAAATGTATATAAATGTGAAATGAAAAATTAATTTACTCTTCATCACTTGTCATTTGATCTGGAAAATCATGACCACGTATATGAACTTCATAGATAGATAAAAATATATCTGTTGGCATTTTTCGATCTAAATACCAATTCATACGTATTGATGATGCACTTATTTTTTGTACATTTAATTTTGGTACAGCAATATCATTTTCTTCAGGAACACTCTGAAATTCATATGACTAAGATGATATAACTGAAGCAAAACAAAAAAAGTGATCTAAATACACGAACAGCAATACTGGATGGTTCTCTCCGTTGCATTTGTCCATATCTCAAGCCACTTGTAGATGGAACATCGACTTTCTATTTTAAAAACATAAAAATTAGAAAAACAATTGTTAATGAAATCCCTATGGAATTAAAATGTGAGACACAACGTAACTATTGTTACTAATCATAAGAACATTGTTTTATTCTATCTATTTTGTGACACATTTCATCACTATCTCTTTATTAAATGCTTCAGAAATGCAATAAGGATATAGTTTATCTATTATAACGACACACTATTGATATACTATCTATGATCGTATATCAATAAAGTCCATCGTGATCTGTGATACAGAGAGGAGCAATACTATTAAAGTATTTGTCATAGTTTATAACGTTTTCTTAGGTAACGTTTGTTATGTAGTGTTGTGCAACCGGATTGGGGATCTAACATTCAATCCAGTTCGAACCCGACTCAGCAATACATAAGTTTTTGACGTTTCAAAATAGTTTTAGTTTCTCAAACAGCTAATTCACATAAAACATAGAAATGGACCTGCAAGCAGTTTATTGTGCTTTAGAACAAGTCATCGAATTGGAAAGTGATATTGTTTTTCGAAAAGAATTTATTTTTAATGAAAACCTATCTACAAATAATGATGAACCATATGACTAAGTAATTGAATACGTGGCGAAGAAAATGAATAATGAAAAAGGTGAACATGTATTATCGTGACGGAAAAAGCATTCATATATGTATCCACAACTATAATGTTTGACAACAATACTATATTCCATTCCAACGTCATTATTAACAAGTAAACATCTACTTAGCGAGTATAATCACTTTTTAGAAGTAGAAAGATACCAAATGAATCCTGAATCACCCGGATTTTTGTGAAACTTAAGATGATCTCTGTGTTCGGTGTTCTTTATGGAAGAAACTAAACAGTATTTTTTTTTAAATACCAAATTAAAGTTTCAAAACTGTACTGTGAAAGTATCCACCGGATGTTAATTAGCTCCGATCCAAGGTCGATTGCGAAAACTGATACCGGTGCACGAAACTTCAGTCATTATCTGTGAGGAGAGAAAGGTGACAAATGTCGATCTTATATATCTCCACATTCGTTTTAGATCGTACTTCACAGAAAAAAAAACAATTATTAGTATATTAATAACATACAAGAACATTTGATTTCAAGATTTCATTGTTTTTATCTTTGGGTAGGACGTCAACATAGCAATGATGTTTTCCTGGTGCAAGATTTATTTGAAATTTTGGTTCCTCATTTGGTGCTATTAGGTTTCCATATGGTTCTTGATCAACCATAATCTAAAAATCAAAATTCACACTATACACTTGTTTCAAATTGTTATTCTTACTCGATAATTTTCCACGAAATCAGTAATAGCTGGAGATTTCTTTTTCCAATATAGAAAAATACCATTTGCATTTGGTTTACATGAAATTGCCGGTACAGCATTGGAATAACCATTTATCTAAAAGGAAAAGAAAAATTCAATGTTCAGTTTTCTTTCTTTTACGAAATTAATGAGTTACAATCGGTAGACTTTCAACTTTTCGAGTTGCTTCTGGACGTCGATGTTGAAAACTATCTAGTTCAATACCTAAAACAAAACATTCATGCATTGATATTTATGTTCTCAAAATACTGAAATTAGTATCAAATTGTTTTTTTTTTATCTTTTGTTATCGAATACATATAAAATAGAATAGATGCAAAAGTGATTTAAACTAAATGGTTCAAAGGCTAAAGAGTTATAGGTTATGAAGTGTCATTGAACATTGTATTATCATTTTGATTGAGATTTTTATTCAGTGTTGCTGAACGTCGTTGAGATTTAGGTGGAAGTCTATCTGTATATGGATCAGGAGAAGATACTGATGATCGTTGTGAAAGAAGTTGCTCATCTTTATAATGTTGAGTACCAAGAAATGATTTATGTGGATGCGTAGAATTTGAATTTGATTGTTTCAAACGATTTTCAATATCTTGTGTTAATCTTTTAAGAAGATCTTGTGCTCGACGTTTAAAATCATCAGATACAATAGAATTTTGATTTTGTTGTAGTAGTAGTTGTTGTTGTTGTATTGTTTCAAATTTTTCTGTTGTCGAGTCTTCTGTAGTTTCATCAATTTTTATTTGCATTGTTGATGTTTCATTGGAAGTAGGTAATTGTTCTTGTTCTTGTTCTTTTAGATTATCAGTTTTATCATTATCATAATCATCACTTTTTTGAGGAATGATTTCACTCGTATTTAATGATGCATCGTTCAAATCAATTTTATGAATATTTGACCGCGAAGAGGCTGCAGGAGAAGGAGGAGCAGACGAAGAAGGAGAAGAAGTTCTAATAGATAATTTTGAAGAAGATAACCGATCCAAACCCTCTAGAAAATGGACAAAAGAAAAATTAAAAATTATCGTAGCATCTTTGTTTTTTTTTTTAAATTTTTCTTTTTAAAGAAAATCATTTTAATTTTGCTCCTGCAAGCCTCTTCAGCGGTGTAAACAAATAAAGCACAATGAGAATTATTAGTATGCAAACGTTCTTTTGTGTTATTAATGGCGCAGGCAGTTTTTCCGATCAGAAAGGACTGAGTCTACCCTTGCCCTCGTCATTCTTTGTTATCGATTTCAATATCAACGTGTATTGATTTTATTTTTCAGATAATTTAACGAAAAGAAAAAATGGATTAGAAAGTTTTTTCTTTCGTAAAACTTACTGTATTCGGAGTTCAAATCTATTCTATACAGATGAAAATGTTTGATGTATGTCAATGAAAAGATAATAGCGACGAATGAATATTTGTCTTACAGATTCTTTGATGAAAAATTTATGAGATATATCTTCGATTCATAAATGACTAAACTAAGACCAAGATTCATTTAGTTGTATAATGATTAATAGTTGCATAAATTTTGGTTTTTATTCATTTGGGATAGACGTGTAAGATTAAACTTGGACTCGGTATAGGGTTGTTTATCAAGAAGAGAAAATTCTGCGAATTTTTTTTTTTAATAAGAGTTCTTTATTGGTAGAAACATTGAACATGCTAATAGTTAAAACACTTATTAAATTTTGCATGAAGAAATTTTCGGATAATTTTTGTTTTAAACTGAAAAAAAAGTTACTCTCTCACATCTGTACTGTTCGATCGTACGAATACATTAAACAAAATTAATCGAAAAAGTTCAGTTTTAAACTATAAGTATATCATAAAAAAAAATGACTTTAAAGTTAAGTATAGAGTTTTAATACTTTTGTTTCAAATAATGTATTAATTTGATTTAGTTGTTTCTTTTTGTTGCTTGTAAATTAAAACTTTTTAAATGAGATTCTTTGTTGAAAAGCGAATGTATTTCGTATCATACTAAAAACTTTAAATAACCTTTTATAGAGTTCTCGAAATAACAATAAGTTTCTTCAGAAAAAATAAAATAAACTCTCTTGCTTTTGTTTTCATTTTATTTTTAATTAATTCTAATTAAATCAATATCTAGTTTATATATACTGAAATCGATAATAATAGATATTCATTTTTAAAGAGAAAATCACTGAAACATTTCTATATATTATATCAAACAATGAACTTACTTTCAAGATGCATACTGGATGATGCTTGTTCATCGTTAATTATAATATAAGGAAAATATTGATCAAGAATTGGTTTCTTAACTGATAAATCTAATGGTGCAGTCACATTGATAATATTTGATTTACGAATTTCATTAGTATCTGAAAATATTCAAAAGAAAACAAATACTCAATAATCTTATTCTTTCAATTCAATTAGACATACTTTTAATTTTTGCGTCAACATGAAATGAATATTTTTTACGTTGTTGTGCACCATGAAATTGAATACCATAAAAATCATTAAAATCTCGTTCGGTAATCTTTAGAATCATAAAGAGAAAATCTATATTAATCAAGTAAAAATGAAATTTATCTTACAATTTTTGTTTCAATATTATCCACATAAACAATATATTCACTAACATGATCACCGATATGTGCCCACACTAAAAGTATTGTACTTTGATCACTTGACAAAGCTAAACTAAGTAATGGTCCACCACCGGGAACTTCCCGTTGTATTTCAAATGCCTATTACATAAAAACAATTATTTTTTGTTTATATATATTAATAATATGAAAACTTACTCGTTTATTTGATAAAATCGGTTCGACATCAGTAATATTATCTTTTGGATAAGCAACAACGTGTACTTCGTATTGTTCTCCAGCAGCAAAACCTTTTGCTGAAAAATTCAAATCGGTTGGTGCTAAATTCACTTTTTGTGCAACATCATTAATATGTAATTCAATATGATCAATAAAATCAATTGAATTTGCTGGTTCAATTTTAATGTTTCCATACATTTTATTTGGATGTTCTAATGAAACTGAAAGTTTCATTGTACAATTATTCCATAAAGCTCGAAGTTCCTTTTTTTTTTTTACAATGAAAAAAAGAAATATTTTAATTATATAATTAATATTAACTTACGTTCATAGCTGCAACTTCCTTATTCTCCAGAACAAATGTTGGACTGAAATATAAAAAAAAATCGATTAAGTTGATAAAAATTCCCACATGACAAAAACAGGAAATGAAATTTTAAATATGGTTTTTTTCTTTTTGTTTATAGATGTGACTGAAAGCGTTAATAGAAAAAAAGGATGTCAGAATATTTCTGAAGTATATACATTTGTATATCAAACAGAGCCTATTTGAAATTATAAGAACTTGAAGAAATTTTTACAATTAACAGTTCAGGTTTAATTATACTTTTACGTGCAGTTCGTTCATAAAATATTCAAATATAGTGCTCTTTAAAACTATAATTAATGTCGAACTACTACGCACAAGAATCTTGTCAATGTCTTACTTTTGAGAAAGCTATCTGCTCCCATATTCTAAAGTTTTAACAAAAATTCTATCATATAATACTCTTGGATATACAACAGTGACGGTGCCGTCTAAGCATGTACGTAGAAATTAACGGCAAGGACAGTGAGGGCATGATAAAACAGTCATTTTCATTTCCGCTGGTTCCAACAGTGCAGAACGAGTTTGCATCATAAAAATGATCCGTTGTATATGGCAAATTTTAGTATAACTAATTAGTTTATTAACAAACCTATTTTTTACTATGTGAGTTGGTGAGGTATGGAACATACTCTACGAACTCAAACCATAACCAACGTAAATGGTGATTCTAGATTGCTTTTGAGTTTTTCGGTCAAAGAGATCATTTATAAGAAAATAGTTGAATTTTATAAAAATTGACTAAAGGCTTGCACGATCCAAGAATTCAAATTTATAGAAGGTTTTTCGAAATTCTTGAGTTCGGTTTTCTTGTTCAAGAAAGCTTTAACTTTCACGATTTAGTCATTTGTTCAAGAAAATTCAGCTATTTTCTTGAAATAGACTTCTTCCGATCGAATAAGTCGAAATGAAACTAAGATCACCGTAATTTTTATCATACATCGACTAGTCTTCACTGTTATTCTATACGTGCATGCCTAGACCAGAGCAGGAGTCTACCCAAAACCGATGCACTAATGGAGTGTTGCAACAAATGTATGCTGCACCGCTATTAGAAATGAATGGTGAATTGAATTTTCTTTCTATGTATTGACTAATAAAACTAGTGAATCAATTTTATGATTTATGTTATCAGTCAACGAAGATATAGGAGTTTTATCCTTAGTGGAAAAGAAATATTTATTAAATGTTTTATTGAGTCTCTTTGATGATAATGACTTGAATAAATTAAATCAATACGATTTTAGGCAATATCAATATAAGAAAACAAACCTGCTTGTTACAATACTACTTGATATTTTTTCATCTTCAACTGCATAAGCACGTATAATATGTAAACCTTGTTCAAGTAAGCGTAGACCTTCATTCGGATCATATTTCTAAATTTAGATAATGAAAAAATATTGTTTTTCTGTTCGAATTATTATTATTTACCAAAACATTATCATAATGTCGTGTTGGAGGTAAACCATCCAGTGTATAAAAAATAATAGCATTTCGATCTGGACAAAACAAATGAATTTGTGAACCAAATTCACTTGTAGGCTCTATATCTTCAACTATTCGAGGTTCTTGAAGTTGTTTTCCTATTCAAACAGAAATGAAAAAAAATCCATTAACAAAATATTTTAAAATAAAAATTTTACTTTGACTTCGAACAGTATTCTCCGAATAAACATATACAATTGCTGTACTCTGAAAACGATTAGATCGAATGATATATTCTCCAGGTTCTTTAAATGTATGTAAATAATGAACACCAGATACATATTCAGAAAGATTTTTATCAATAAACTTGTCCTAAATTTATAATTAATTAGAAATATTTTGAAAAAAAAAATTCAAAAATATTACATTATCAATTTCTTCCTCATTATTATTTGATTGTACATAAATTCGGTGATTTCGTTCATTTATATTTAATATCCATGAAACAGTATCGTTCTATATTTCATTAGTAGTTATTTATTTATTTAATATTTTGACGACACGGTTTACCTGTGCAATATGTAAAATATTTGGAACAAATTGATGGCTAGTAGTAATAAAACAATTTTGACAAAATAGTGGATCAATAACAATTGTTGACAGAAGACGAGTCTTGAAAATAAAAAAAAAGAATAATAAACATAAAACAAAAAAACTCTCCTTTATAAACTTTACCTCTTCTAAACCGCTTACTCGTTCAAATTCTAAAATAATAATATTACTTATTATAATGATAACTATTTAAATCAATGTTTTTATTTTACCTGGATTAGCAAAATAGAATGTTCCCTGAACAATACATTCAACAGCAAGACATTGTCGATTTCTTCCAGTAACAGCTCGTTCATGACAAGATAGTAATTCTTGTAATGTTTCATCTGAATTTACTTGTATAAGACTACGAGAAATAGTTTGTTCGAATTGCCAAACAACAAAATCATTTATATTTGTTATTATTGGTTCGTTATCAAAATCATCTTTAGTTATTGATTTATAATGAAAACGTATTTCTGGTAAAACAACAACAGTTAGTGGTCGAATTGAATTTTGTTTCTTATTGTTTGTATCAGTATTATTTATATCAGTTGAAAAATAATAAATACCCAATTGTTGAAATTCTTTCATATAATAATTAATACTATTTAATTGAGGTTGAAATAATGGTTTTTCTGATTCTAATCGTTTACCAAATTCATCTGTTCGATAAATATTAGCCACAGTTTTTGACGATGAATCAAACCATACCTGATCAAGACGATTTATTATTAATAGATCAGGTTGAAACACATTTTGATCATTATAAGCAACACGATGACTCTATTTGAGAAAACATGAAATATTAATCTATTGAAAGAAAGTAAATAATTAGAAGTTTTTCTTACGTCAACATCATTTTCAACAATAATACTTAGAAGACTACTGTCTTGGTTATCAGAATAAGCAAAATTGTAGAGACCATGCTGAGGAATATGTAAAATATATGTTTCACATGTATAAAAATGTTGACGAAACAATGGTTCGACTTTAATACATTTATGTAAGGCTAAAAGCAGAGAAATTTTTTATAAAACAATTTCATTATTTCTTTCAAATAGGTTTAATAAATTTTTGTATTTAAGTCGAAATTCGATTGAAAAATTTTCATAAAATTCAAAGGATGAAAAGATACCATTCATTCTTCTACACACTTCGAAATCGTATGGTACTTTTTGAATACAGTAATGAGGCACGTTCATCTTTTATAAGAAAAAAAAGCACTGATGTTCTGAAACCGGGAAAAATGATTCAGCAGAATATAATAAAATACATAAGAATATTGATGTATGAAATACACTGTTTTTTTTTCCGATTGTTCCGATCAGAGATCTCAATGTGCTGAGTCAGGCTGATTTGATGTTGCGATGGGCGCTCGTAGGCTAAATTTCAAATGAAATATAAAATTTTCGAAAGATGTTGTCTATCTCCACTAGTTTTTTTTTTCAAAAACTCTATAAACCTCCTCCATTGGCTAAAACATTTCGACAATATGACCAGCAAATATACAAAACGAAAAAGATAAAATTGTCATCAACTGAAAAAGAACTTTCTTTATATTCAATAAAATATCCTTATGTAGCGTTCCTCGTTCATCATCAATTACTTTTTCTTCAACTATCGGTGCTTGTTCACTATCACATACAAAACAGTATACATTCAAACGGATCAAATTTCGTTTGAAACAACAACTATCGACATATGTTGTTATTAAAAAAAATGAAAAGTAAACACATCTATATATTAGAATGTTTTTGGTTTTTCTACCTAAAAGATTAGAAAATAGTGATGAATTTGAGAAGACTGAAGATCTTGTAAGTTGTCAAATATGTTACCAAACATATCAATTACTGACATTCGAAATATGTTTATTCATTTATGTATTAAAAATTCATTTAATCTTAGTCGCTCTAGTTTGATGTTGACGGAAACAAATGCTCTTTGGGCAGTCCATATTCATAAATTTATAAAATATTTGTTCAATTCATGAGTACGTCTTCAAATTCAACGTCTGATTTATGTTTTATTTCATATAATTATTCAATTGTTTTAGTTATTGAAATGTTTGCCTGCGATATTCATTGAGTTTTATTCATTTGAAATGCTGCCACTGATACATACACTTTATGTCGTATCTCAAGCATGTATTGGACGAGAATACTTATAAGGTATGTTTATAGGACAAATAAAATAAATTAATATGATTATTTTTTTTTTTTTTATTAATGTTTATTTTCATTCGATAGACTGTCCTATGTATTACTTATTAGTATTTTAACAGATCATTTTTGACTCTAGATAAGCACAACTAGATTCTCGAAATTGACTGAAAAAATATCAATCCGGATGAAATTCTATATTTTGACGAGTTATTTTTAGAAATATTCGATTTAAATATTCAACAATCACAAGAGAATTTCTTAGAATTTTTTTATTTAAATGTAGCTGCGAATATTCTCTATAGAAGTGATTAGATCAATTTTAATTACTAAGTATTATATATCAAAAATATATAAATCTACTTTCAATAAAAGCTTACAATCGATTCGATCAAAATAAAAGATTATATTTCAACAACGTTTCTATGACGATCACTTAATAAATGACGGCAAAACGTTTTTTTTTTTCTCTATTCTCTTGTTTTTCTTGTACATGTATAGCAGTAACAAGATATTGATCTTTTCTTTTCTGTTAGCTTTAAAATTTCAAATAAAAAACAGCAATGTTTTAACAAGTACTTTCATACATACATAGAAACGCTAATAGCTTTTAAATCAACTTAAACAAATCTTCTTTCTACTTACCACATTCAAATACTCCAGTAGGACCACCAGCAGCATCTGGTACTACAGATGAATTTGACTCAATAGTAATTAATATTGGTTCTTGTTGTGAATCATTCATTTTCCAATCGAACTGTACTAAATCATTTGTATTCATTTTATAAGCTATAAATAAAAAAAAAAATATTGTATTTTTGAAAATATTTATTTTCTTTTGATTTACTTAATTTATCACCATCGATTGGTATAGAACGAATAGTATTACGAGGTTTAACAATAATTGTACCAATTTGCTGATCTCCAGTTTTAAAACAATATATTCCTGTTTTCATAAACTGATGATAAATACAACCACTACGTGATGGATCATTTGGCCAAAAGAAATTCTCACCAATTGTTCTAAGCTAGATTAAAAATGAACAATAAAAACGTTTTCAGTCTTATTTCTTTTTTTTTTTTTTTTGTTAAAAATACAAACTTCAATTGATTGTTGTTTATTTTCACTAATAGTAAATGGTTCAATTTGTACGACAGTTTGTTTATGTCTTCCGTTCCATGAAAATCTAATCCAATCATTTTCATCCAACCAAATAATATTTGGTTGAATTTTATCATCTTTTATCTCGATATGTTTCATTTTATATGTTTTATTAACAATACAAACAGTTATGTCATGAATTTGATTTGTATCAGTTAAACGAAATAAGAACGACATACCAAAATCAGTAAATGTTTTAGAAAATTTTCCTTTCGATGAAACTCGATGAGATACATTATCAGATGTTTGAGAAACTGTGTAAAGACCACCAGATACAGGACAATATTTTTTTTCTTCCATACGATAGCCAGGACCAGATGTTATCCATTCTATATCCACAGTATCACCTTTACATAAATAAACTTTTTGATTTTCTTTTTCATCGGTTAAAGTAAACTTAATTTCAGGCTTGTTAACTATTAGACGATTTTTTTCGCAATTCTGTTTTGGACATTTAAGTGTATCTGATAATGTTTGACGTTGTGATGATGGCATAATACAAAAATATAATTCACTTTGAGGTTGATTAAGAGCAAAGGGAAATAATAGACGTCTTTTATTTTTTGGTGTATCATCTTTTATATTAAGTAATTCATAACCATTAATTACTCGATAATAATCATTACCTTCTTTATATACTTCAAAGATATCATATCCAGTATTTTCTTTAATCGTAAATTCAACAATATCATTGCATTCAATACGTTGTGGCATTTCTTCCGGAAGCAACCCATTTTCTACATCAAGGAAATGAGTCATAACGTTTTCAGCATCTTGGACATTATCATTCGGCATTTGACCTTGCAATGAAGCCATGAGAGTTGGAACTAAATAATGAAAAAATATATATAACTTATATTTCATACATAGACTTAATTAAATTTTCAATCGAAAACAAAAACGAGGAAATATAAAAGAAAATAGAAAAAGACAAATTATAAATGCATCAAACCTTCAGTAGCCTGTGTTTGAATCTTTGATGGTTGACCAGCAGGAGTTGAAGGTTTGTTAAGACCAGCAGACTTGCTACTTCTACAACATGATGCACCAGACCCCATTGTATTAGTACACAAACAAAAGGCAAACAGAGTTGGATATGGAGAAATATTCACCACTCACAATTCGACACTCTAAAAGACGATCAAATATAATCGTATGTAATGTGTAAATCAAACATGTGCGATTACATTCCAAAAAAAAACACATGCATAATAAAGATATTCATAGTCATATGAAATTCAAAAAAAGAATTTTAAACTCTTTCTTCTATTCAATTTGTTAGATATAAAATAAAATTAAATGAAACAAAATTTTTATTCTATTTCTTCGGGTTTCATATTAAGATTGTTACTTCATTGTTCTTTTTTTGCATTCTAAGTTGCTAAGCAATAATCTAATGCATTTATCAATCAATAGTTTTAACTGTTATCATCATCTATATTTATTCCTATTTTCTTTTATTCATAAAAGTTACTATTATTAGGTTTTATTAAGCCCTTTTTATGTTATATATAGATGTCGGTATTTATTAATCGTCTTGACAACATTTTGCGGGTTGATTTCTTTTCACTTTTTTTTTAAAATCATTAGTATGCCATATGTGATTCTCAATAAAATTTTGTGATGAATACTCATAATATAAATGAACTTTCTTCAACATCTGAATCTGATAGTGAATATTTAGTTGATTCAAGATATTGTCGTACAACAGTTAAATGTAAACGAAAAGCATTAAAAAAGACAATTAAATTAATTCATGGTCGTTGTGTAGTTATTTATCGAGGCAGTGGAGATCTTTTACCTATTGCAGCAAAAGATGCTGATCGAAATTGTTATTGTGGTAAATGAACATTTTTTTTTTTTTATTTGATGGAAAATATCATCATTGAATAGATTTTGTATTTGTTTGCCATGATCCAAAACCAATGAATCTAGCAAATGAAATATCAGCAATGTCGCGATCTCGATCAGCTATACATGATTCATCAATATCTGATGATGATGATAATGTGAGTGTGCTTGATATTATAAAAACAAACCAAAATAATTCCTTTATTCAAAAGGATGATGAAAATAATAATAATAATATTTTTCAAAAACGATTTATACCATTAAGTAGAAATCAAAGATTATCAAAACAAGATTCGTTTTTATTTCCAACAAAGATAAATAATAGTAATAACAATGAAAATACCAGTTCTTTCATTGTAATTGGAAGAGATTCGATGATCAAAGACAATAGTGTAATAAAAAACATTGATGTTGATGAAAATGAAAGATCGAATGAACAATTATTAGTTGAAGAAATCGATGTTGATGTTGATGAATTAATTGATGCTGATGAACCCTCTCCTTCGATTGTTTATTTTCCTTCATCACACACGAAACCTATGTCGAACATTGTTATTGACAAAAGTAGATAAGAAAAAAAATTATTTGTTTTAATATATTATGTTACTCGACAAACAAAATTCGATTTGTAAACTTTGAAATAGCTATTTTTAGTTTCTTTTCAAAAGTCTTGAAGACTTTTAAAATGATTCATGAGGTTTCAATATAAATATATATATATCGAATACATTTTAATGGCTTTCAAGTTGTGACTATACTAGACGGGACATGAATCGAGCTCTTCGTACGAAATGCAATGCAAGGCTTCCTCAAATTTCAATCAATGACAAATGAATCGTTTTTAGAAATATAACTCGTAGGAAGACATAATTAAATTATTACATATGAGACGTATACGAAAGCTTAACGATGCTATTTAAATATAGACACAATGCGAGGTACTTAAAATCTTTTCGACTGAGACAGCATTAAAGATTACGGATCATGCTGATGTCGAATATGATCATAAAAAATTTCTGTAAGCCTATATTGACTGATTTTTCAAGAAGCCAAAAATTTAGAGTGACAAACTTTTTCACGATAGTTTATCTTGATTTTCCCAAATTAAAGGGCATTGTGAACTGTCTTTAAAACAGGAACTTTTTTTTGTTTCAAATCAATTGCTTTTATGAAAAAAATACAATCATCATAATTCATTCAAATGACGCATGTCAATGTATCAGGATGAAAAATAAAAAGTTTTTACTTTTGTATTTGTAGCTCATTATGAAAAACAGAGATTATTTATTTTAACGGGTGCGGCAGAATAAATTGCCGCCTTTTGTATTTTATTTTTTCATCATATAGTGCGTTTTATTAAAAAACAAAACATACCATAAGATGCAGTGTGAAAAGTTCTGCAATTTACATAAGATCAGTTATTTTATAGTTGCAATTTTTGTTTTTAAAATGAATAAAGTTTTGAGTGACCAAATATCGACACTGCTCAAAAATCATTTTTTCTTATCTCATGTTATCTCATCTTTTTATCACCTAATGTTTTCAATAAAAAAAAAAACAAAATATACCACAAGATGCAGTGGGAAAAACTCTACAATCTACAAAGTAAAAGTTAATTTAATTGTGTTCTTTTTGTTTTTAAACAAAGAAAAATTCTGTGTGATCAATTTTCGATCCTGCTCAGATCATTTTTTTTCCACAGACACAGGAAACAATTTTTTCTTATTTCATCTTCTTATCAACTAATATATTTTCGTAAAAAAAGCAAAATATATCACAAGATGCAGCATGAAAAGCTTTACAATTTACAAAGAAGAATTTCTTTAAATAAGAAAAAAGGAATTTCTCATCCGTGTCGAAAGAATGATTTTTTCGCAGTGTCAAATATTGGTCGCACAGAATTTTGCTTTTTTTTTTAAACGAAAAGAACACAATTAAACTAAATTTTACTTTGTAGATTGCAGAGTTTTTAACGTTGCATCTTGTGGTACATTTTGTTTTTTTTCGAAAACATAATAAGTTGATAAACAGACGAAATAAGAAAAAACTTGTGTCTTGCTCCCATGGAAAAAAGTGATCTTTGAGCAGTGTCGCTATTTGATCACTCAAAACTTTATTCATTTTAAAAACAAAAATTGCAACTATAAAATAAGTGATCTTGTGTAAATTGTAGAACTTTTCACGCTGCATCTTGTGGTATATTTTGCTTTTTAATAAAACGCCCCATATGATGAAAAAATAAAATACAAAAGGCGGCAATTTATTCTGCCGCACCCGTTATTATAGACAATTACATATGCTCTATAACCTGCGTAAATCAGAGAAAGTTTTATGTAAAAATTTTCTCAATCTAAAACAGCAACCTTTGTAAAAAGCTAGCCTATGTAGGCTCAAGGGAATTCCTTGTACTTATCTGCAATATAATCATGGTCAGGGGTCTTCAATCCAATAGATTCTTAAAAAAAAAATGATTTCTCAATAAAAGCGGCTCCTTTCCTATGTTTAGTTTACAAAAGGATTCGTTTCATGATGTTTTCAATACGCTTCAAGACTATCTTATAGGTTATAATCATCTGCATCACGTTTACTAAACTATGATTTCTCAATTCATAAGTCACTCTTGTCATATCAAATACGCTAGTGATACAAACGAATGTTTTTAAAAAGATGCCCTCATTTCTAGGTGTCCAATAATTCAATATTTCATGAATCCATCATAGCTACAGACTGGTGCTACAGCTTGATTTTCATCAAAATGCAGACCGTCATCCTCTTTTTTTGAATTGTCAAAATCTTGGTAAAATGGATTCTTTTTATTTCATATGTGCAATTATGCACATATGTAATTTGCTTATTATCGATTGACATAGAAGTGGGTTTAAAAATAAGAAAATCAATTTGTTTTCCGATTAAACGGCGTTAGCATTAAATGTGATCTAATATTTCTGTCTAGCACTCAACTAACTGTCTCGTATATTTTACATATCTTTTGTTATTCAACATTATTCAAGTCAAATGGAGCTTGTCGTTCTCTTCTATATAAATCAAATTTAATAGAACTAGATTCATGTAATAAAAGTATCATCAGAATATTTATAGCATGGTATCCGATATCATTTTAGTGATATCTGATAAATACATTATTATGCAATTGTTTATACGAACTATTTTTTCATTGATAAACATCAACAAAATACTATCAAGACCGAAAAAACTATTGTTTTTCAGCTTGTACACTTACATTTCTAATTGAAATTTTTTTCGTCCGCTCTTTTATATCAGTTATCATTTCCTTTGTAATCATTGTTTATTTGGATTTCGAATATAAAGGTCTTTGGTTAAGAAATTCAATAGGATACTCTTTAAACGTAATATCTCTGTATCTACCTAGCGAACTTCCTAAAAAAAGGTGTTATACTGAACCTTTTTAGGTCCATATGTGGGTACCATTTTCTGAATTTTTTTGAGTTCTGGTCAACAAGTATAGAACACCCACACCCTTCAAACTTTCCGACTAAAACCTTTTCCAGTTCTAGCGAACATGTTTAAAACTGAAAAAGGTTCTGAAGATGGTACCGAAAAAAAGGTTCAGTATGATACCTTTCTTTTTAGAAAGGTTGTGGGTATGGGTAGAAGATAAAAGAAGACACGGATATCCACGCCCACTCACAATTGAATCCTTATAGAGTCGTGTCACTACATGTCTATTAATATGAATAATTCTAAAGGACTTCTAGTTCTCCATCCCAAAAATGGAGTATATGCATTTGTATTGATATGAATAATTTTAAGGGCATCCAAGATCACCTAGTTGCTCATGCCAAAAAACGAGCGCATATACATCTATATTTATATGAATAGTCATGACGATCTCCTAGACCCCTACTTCCCGCATTCCAAAAGATGGAGGGTATATACCTATATTTCATATGAATAATTCTAAACGATTCCTAGACTTCCTACCCATGTACGACAGAAACTATGAAGGTTCACTTATTAGTTACTTTTGCCATTTTTTTCAACTGATTAGTACTAATCAGTTGAAATAAGTAGCAAAAGTAACTAATAAGTGATTCTTAAATACTTTCCTGTACTTTTATTTTTATATTAGTAGCCTCCTGGTCTCAGAAAAGGGAAGTATATACATCTATATGCGTAAAAACAATTCTAAATACCTCTTAGACCGCCTAATCCGTCCATTTCAAAA